GGTCAAGCAAAATAAACTCACATTTAATTTTTTACTGCATATTGAATATGATTACCCCCCTTTAATAGGAGAAAATTAGTGCACAGTCAAATAAACCTGGAAAAATTACAATATTAGTAGAATGTTAATATCACAATAGTTATTAATGATAAATTAATAATATTGAAATGGGGGAACTGGGTTTTGAGCAAGATATTACTGTCATGTAATGTTTGGATGATGTAAAGAGGGGTGATGCGTTAAATGGATTAAGACGGAAATGTGGTGTTGAGAGATTGAGAAACCGGTGGCGGGCGATGGAATATTTACCATTAGTGCTTGGAATTGGAAAGAGAAGAGAATGATGTGGAAGGGAGAGCATGATATGATTGAAAAAGAGCATCCTGTGGGGCTCACTCTAATGGCTACAAACTCTTAGGGCGGTTCCTCCTGATTTTACCTAACTATACCCTCCCCTCACGCTCTCCCTGTGATCCTTATGCCCGATTGCGACCCTCATCGTCGCACCCAGGTAACCTAATTCTCTCCTGTCCTCCCACGCCATTTTCATGAATTTCGATTTTTCTTTTTTTTTTTTTCATTTCATATCATGGGAGATGCATTTTCGATGCTGGAGATTGAAGATAAGAAACATGGAGAGGGCTCGTGCTTAAATGCTTTTCACAAGCTTAAACACAATCTTTTCTTAAAAGCGATCTCATTAGCCGTTCAAACAATTCTAATCATCATGATGACATAATCATTCATCAATTTTTTTTTAAAAAAGGACTAAATGAAGGAAATCTTACTAAGTATATGCAATCAACTTGAAGTACTATTGAGTAAAAAAAAAGAAAAAATCTCAAACACTGGTGGAGACCACTTTTTAACATACACATGAGGGTAGTAGTAGTTTCAGAAGATAATTTCACAATTAAGACAGAATAACTCTCTGGTTCGTACGCCAATTTTAGGGTTTTTTTTTTGTTTTTTGTTTTACAGGAGGGGGGTTTTTTCCCGAGGTGGATTGCGTCTTGTGCTTCTTGCGATGCTAACTACCAACATGGCCATTGGTCAAGCGGGCCTGGCTTATTCTCATTGGACGACATCGCGACTTCTAACCCCCCACTTCTCTATATGTGACAAGGAACGCATTTGAGAAATGAAGGGCTCGTGAGTCAGGAACATGATTCTGGCTTCTTGATTATCATGTTTAATTAATGATACATAGTGATTCCTCCGTTTAAATTATAAAATATTTTAAATAAAATTTTATATATTAATAAAATTTATTAAATATACTTTATTACTTTACTTTTTTAGATAAAAATATAAATTTTTAAAAATACCTTTTATTTAATATTTTTTTGATAAAAGAATATTAAAAAGAGAGAATATATGAAAAAGGTAATAATGAAAAAAATCATTAATAAAACCTTATTTTTTAAATCAAAGTATCTTATATTTTAAGACATTTAATTCTCCCTAAAAGTGTTTTATAATTTGAAATGGATGGAATATTATTACTTTATCTTATTTTATTGATAGTCACTTTTAACATATTTTAATCAAAATTTAAGAAAAAATCTTAAACTCTATTAATTTTGTTTTGAGCTTTAACAAATTTTACTTTACTGTTAATAAATATTCTTAAATTTTATTATTAGTATTTTTATTTAAATATTTAATAAGAGCAAAAATAGAATGAAAAAAATTAAAAATTAACAAGTGCCCTGTAAATAGAATCAAATTTTATTTTTCACTCTTTACTGTATGAATAGGACGAGTGGAGTATTTCCTTAATTGTCTTGTCTAAATCCTGGTGATAATAATCCTTTAATTTTGTATAAAAATATTTTTTTATAAAAATTGATCATCATTTTTATAAGTTACTCCCCCCGTATTACAATATAAAAAATCTTCTAAAACCTTTGCTTGGTCTAAAATATAAAGCATTAGGTAACTTGTATAATTAATTTTTTAATCATACTTCTATTTCATTTATTACTTTTTTTAAACAATTAATGAGCATAAAATTAAAAAAATTATTTTTTTTTAAAATTAATGTTTCAACTAATATTTTTTGAAAACTGTAAATTAATTATCGATACTTTGTAGTTTAATCGGGAAGGAGTACTACTATTTTACGTATAAATGATAAAGTATTTAATATCCTTTTCCAATTTTATTCTTTGTACAACGTTTTATGTTTCAAGAGCAGAAAAAGAGATTGCATGTACAATAATAAAGAAAATATTTTTAAAAATGATACATTTAATAGGAATAAAATAATTTTTTAGACAATATCAATGATTGAAAATAAAAAATGATCTACATAAAAAAGATAAGAAGAAGTATACAGATGAAGCGCGGCCAATAACCCCAAGATTACGTGGCACTAGGTTTTGTTTATGCGAATGATAAGTAGCCTAAAAGCCAAGGAGAAAAGAACAAGGAAAAATCAAGAAAACGAAACAGAGAGCACGCGTGTTTCCAGCTGAAAATTTCCGCCTTAATTCTCTCTCGGGTCCAAAAACTGAATCAAAGGGAAAACTGAAAAGGAAGTGAATGAAACATCAATAAGGTGAAGAGTCATGTCGATTATTTTGGGGTTGGCCAGGCCTTCAGTTTTATCGGATCAGATTGGCCGACACATCCAAACTATACGTTTGGGCCTGCTTCTATCTATTTCATGGTCTTCTTCATCACATAGTCCATTGCTAGATCAAAACTGTTTCCTACAGTTACAATGGTTTGATCATTGGAAGGATTTGCTAGCGTCTACGCGGCAAAATATGATTCACAGGACTAACATTCTTGGATTAATCTAATGGACAAAATTTTGCAACGCGAGCAGTGCAACATGTCACAAGTGATTCCACAAGCTATCATGAAAATTATGCATCATGCAACAAACATCCAATCTTTGGTCACTGAATCCACCCTTGAGATTGAAAATTGATACCATTACCGTCAGACAGGCACACAGGAAACTTGGTGAGCAATGGGCCGAATCTGTGGCTTTTACAGCAGATGAGGTCTTGTCAGAAGAAGACCTCATCTGAACCTGAAAACTACATGAAAGAAACTAAAGACACGAAACTAGTGCAGACGTCGACACTCAACAATCACTTCAAGAGATGCACAGTGGATCCAAATTCTAAAAAGTATCATCATATACTGACAAAACAGGGGGGGTTTACAATTGAGAGAAGGAACCACAGTGAAAGCCATTCAAGATGTCCATATAACTTTCCTTGTTCCTGGTTGATATCATTCCATTCCGACTTGCTACTAGAGGGGGAAAAAGTAGAGAAAGAAAGAAAAGAAAGAGGAAAACTGTTACTCGATAATACCACCGTGATTACAATTCACCATTTATCAAATCCTCAAGAGTCACGCTGCTCCTCAACCAGGCCGTACGGTGAAGATCGGTTAACAAGTCAGTGACCAGTGACCCCTCGAGCGGATTGTGTCTTCTCTCTATTAGTGATTCCGAGTCAGTGAGCATCATGTCAACTCCGGTGTGATATCTACATGTTAACAGCTCATAATAGATCTTGGGATACAACTTGTTCAGTTTTAATGACCAAGCTGTCTTATTCTACTTCAGTTCTTCACCTTAGCTGAACGGTTGCACGTTTTCTGAAGCATAAGTACAAATTCACCCTGTTAGATTCGATAACTAATACACATGCACAAATAATAAGCCCGAGACTGCAAAAGTTTCTGCTTAAACATATGCATAAAATTCCTAACTCCAACAGAATCCGGAGGACATAATAAATTGGATCCAATGTTACATATTAATATATTATTAGCTTATTATTAGCTTATTATTTAGGGAGAATCTCATCTAGGCCCCCATCAGAGAAAAAACCTCACTCAAGGCCCAATACATGCTAATATTATTTTGCAAGCTTAAGGGCTCTTTTTGCAAATATGTTTTAGGAAAAAGAACACAATTGCCCTTAGTGAGAGCATGCAACAAGTACAAGTTTAGATTCATGTTCACGAATTCACGATTTTAGTTCACATGTCCATTGGAAATGAAATTCTTGTTTAGAATTGACATATTCGTTTTGGCAAACTTAATAAATTTATGATTTAAAGTTCAAATATTTACAAATATAAATTCATCTATTTACAAGTCAAAAGTTAAAATTCATGACTTCATATATTTATAATTAAGATTTATTGTGACAACAAGTTTAAATTTTTATAATTATATATTCACTAATTCACGACTTTAAGTTCACATGTAAACAAGTAATTGTTCATTGATAGTGAAATTTTTGTTCATGATTGATAAGTTAATTTTGGCTAACTTAATAAATTTATAAATTAAAGTTTGAATATTTTATAAGTACATGTTTATTTATTCACAAGTCAAAGTTTAGAATCTATGACTTTATATATTCAGAATTAAAATTTATCATGACATCGAGTTTAGATTTTTATGTCACAACTTTAAGTTCACATATTGATGAGTATTTATCCATTGGTAATCTTTCTTTCTCACTAAGGCTAATTGTGTCTTTTTCCCTTAAAACTTATTTGCAAAAAGGACCCTTGAACTTGTAAAATAATTTCATAATTTTTTCTACTTTAGGGGTCCTAGAGGAGATTCTCCTTATGTTTATTTTGCAACCGCTCCAAAATTCAAAACCACATGTTTTTTCACATCAAGGAAACCGCGGTCTGACATCATGAAATCGACCACAAAGACTCATATCATTGATTGATAATAAACATGCATAAACCGTCCTCAAATATGTAGTATATTAACACTTGCGCAGTAATCCCCAAAATTTTAAGATGTGACAACCAAATTCAAAAGCATACCGCAAGAATATTTGAGTACTTCAATTCAACACACATGCTTTTCATATACAAGTTCATAACATGAAATAGATTGCAAGATGTAGAGCACCAGCACTTGTCATGTAATTTTAATCTACAAAACCAGTAAGGTTGATGTTTGTCACTCAGTAGCCAGATAAATGGACCAGAACTACATCCCTTGAGAAAATGATGAACAAAATCACACAGGGAGGATTAATAGTACCTTGCTCTGAAAGATTTGATGACTGAAATCAACAACTCGTCTCCTGCTATTTGTCTTACTTTTTGTATGAGTTCACGCCGTGAAATCTTCTTTTCCTGAAAAACAAAACAGAGGAAGCTTTGATAAGTGAGCTCATATAAAGAGTAGAGTCAGGGTGCTCAAAAACCCCAAAAAGGAAGTCAAAACACTTACTGTGTGATCTTTGTGGAATTTGGAGATCAAGGCAATAGTAGATGGAGGCAAGAACTTCGAGAGCACAGAAATTAGACTTGGAAATGGCATCCAAGGGGAAGATGGCGTTTTTAAAGTTTCTTCAAACTTCGTTAGCCCTGCAAAATTACACATATGCAAGATTTTACAACATTTCTCAATTAATGATTTACAAATTCCCGAATACCATAAAAGACAGCAACTCCATCACAAACTGCCAACAAAGATCTGTCCATACCTTTCATGCCAGGAACCTTGAAACTTATAACGTATTCCGGAAAAATATGAGAATTCATCCGGGTACACCCAATGATATACTTCTTAGGAGCTGAAAGACTGTCCACCCCTGAATCATATTCGTCAGAACTAGGATGGCATTGCTCAGAACCAGGATGCACAAGCTCCTGCCTCCCCAAAATAACGCGACATAGTAATAAGTGCCTTAGACCGTCTTTGTCAACATTAGAGCTTTTCAAACTACAAAGCAGCAAGAAAGACATTTCATTAACTTATGAATTAAGATTGAAAAAAAATGCAAACAATAGTTCTTTTGGCACTAAAAAAAAATTATTCTTAAAAACAATTGTCTAAGTGCAGTTTAAAATTGAAAAAAATATCCGATATCCGTTTTTAAAATATTGTGCTTCATAATAAATAATAACTTTTGCATACCTTTCCATAGGAGAATCATCTGAAGAGAGAGATAATCCGCAACCAAAATGTCCATTATTCTGAGTTTTACCGCCATTACAAAAACCATGGGAAATAATCTCTCGTACCTCTTCCTTGCCAGAAGTCCCATACCATGCATACTTCACATTGGCATTACCACGACGCTTTTCCTCAGCTCGCATATAAACCTCAAATGATTGAATTCGAGCTCGCGCCGTAACGCTAGAACAAGCATTTCTATGGATTGCAACGACCTCCGTTTTCGCCCCAAGCGTCCCCAAACCCAGAATGAATCTTCTGCGAATGAGATCATGAGCCCTCTCTCCTTCAGCGAGTCTAAGAAAACCTTCATCGAACATCTGGTGCCGCACATAAGTGCTACCAGAAACAGCACTCTCGCAATCTGAAACCGTTGATCCCTCGTTGCTCGAGGTCTCCCAGACCGAATTCTCGACCCTCATATGATCTGATTCATCGCTTGCCTCTTGCTTAACGGATTCGTTCGAAGCTGAAGTTCCAATCTCATCAACTTTCAACCGTGGACTGGACCCATTGTGACAGATTTCTAGCAACATATTGTCGAAACACATAACGGTACAATAAAACCGCGCAAACTGTAAGAGAAGCACAGAATGCTATAACCAATCAAACAACCAAGAACAGAAGCCCAAGTTGGATGTATATCTACAGAATTAAGTCGGGACGTGAAACGAAACCAATCAAATAAATGAATAGGGGATGTGTTTGGAGGTTATATGTAACCATAAAAGGAAAGAAGAAATGAAGTTGGATTATACATGTGGGTAAAACCGAGAGAAAGAGAAAACGTGGCGAGAAAGAAAGCAAGAGAAAGAGAGTTGGGAATGGATGTGAAGCAGTTTTCTTGGAGAAGAAGAGAAAACAGTTATGGAAGTAAGGGCATGCAAAGAGGGTTGAGAAGAGATTTAAAAAAGAACGTGACGGGAAGGAACTTCTGTTTTGCGATGGGCGGTGCTAATTGTTTTTGGAGGGCAATCTATCGCATTTAGGTCGGTGTGAATTTACAATTGCGGGTTTGACTTAATCAAGTAAATCACGTAGGAGACCATCCATTGTCGTCGATGATGACGGTTATTCACTGAGGATAAAGGTGTAAATATACATATGGAAGCGGTCCTGTCTGTGTTGATTGACCAATTTTAATGGTATGCATGGGTCCTTATAAACCGGAGCTACAAATCTGTGGACATTGGAAAAAGAATAAAGTCGGTTTTATTTATTTTTAAAAGGTGTTCATATATAATTCATACATAAATTATTTTTTTAATGCATAGCTAACAAACATTGAAACAATATTTTTAAAGTAGTTTAAAATTTACTAATTAAACAAATTATCAAGTTAATTAATCTGATTATAATTAAAATAACATTTTTATGTAACAAAACGTGTACTATTTATTCTATACTTACCGTTAATATCGAGATCAAATATTGGTAACATCAGAAATCACAAATAAATATGGGCAGCCACTTCAATCTCTAGTCGAAATTTTGAAACAAGAACCTATTCTAAAATAAGGGATTGAAAAAGCATCCTACAAAAAGATGACATCATAATTATTTGATTGTCAATGGAAAACCTCGAATTTAAAAAACGTTATAAATCAATGCAAAAAAAAAAAAACCGTTCAACCAAAAAACAACTCTAATTTTAGTTTCATTCTTTTTATAGTTAGATTAGATATAATCAGATGTCGCTACAAAACGCACATATTGCCCATTGTACATGTTTAATCTGAATCGTATTAATATTATCCAAATCCAAATAAACAATAATTAGGACAGCATGAACAATTCTATTATATTTTATTTCTATATTTTAGTTAAACATTTTTATTATTTTTTTAACTGACACAACATCTGATTAGTCTAGAGCCCTTTATTGATTACCAAAATATTTCCCCATATTTTCTTTACCGCCTTTTACCCCATGAACTTTTCGAAAGACCGAAAACCAAATGCTCATTAATGATTGTTGATAGAGTACTAGTTTTCCTACTAAAGATGCTTAGCATTAACAAAACTGTCCTATGTTTCCTTTGTTCCTCTGATTTTTCTTCCGCTTGGATTAAGATACCACTTGCCCCGAAACTAGAATTAGCTGGTAAATCTAGTAGCAAACATCGTTTTTACAGCGCCGTCAGTATGCAGGTAAGAGCATAAACAAGCCGATCAGTACCTATTCCACAAAATTACTATTTCCCAGCTACGCCTCTAAGCCTAATTTTCCCAAACAAGATGATCAGACACCGGTAGATCCGAAACCGCCTTCGCCTCTGGCAGTGGAATCCAGATTTTCAACCTCCTCAACCTCAGGCGTCACGATCTTCTCAATTATCAACTGCGCAATCCTGTCTCCAACCTTCACTTCAAAATCAGCGTCCGCATGGTTGAACAATACCACTCCAACTGGTCCCCTGTAATCGGCGTCGATCACACCCGCACCCACGTCGATTGAGTGCTTCCAAGCCAAACCCGAACGTGGTGCTACATAACCCAGGAATCCAAAATCAAGTAACATCAGAATTCAGTCAAGTTACTACAGCATGTAATGACCTAAAATTGGAAGAGATCTGAAATTTGTCATTACCTATACGAGCATAGGTTCCTTCGGGGATCGCTATACTCAGATCAGTTGCGACCAGAGCCTTTCCTCTTGCTGGCACCTTCGTCTCAACCGCGCTGCAACATTGTTCAGAAAACGTAAATGTTCAGTTATTCCCAGCGCATGAGAGAGCGAGAGTGGAAGAGAGTTTCTGATCTGAGACTAACCTAGATAGATCGTAACCGGCGGAGAGGGAGGAAGCCCTAGAAGGCAAAATGGCCTTGTCAGAGAGCTTCTTCACTCGAAAATAAGGCACAAAGGCTTGAGGATTTTCGGCGACACCGTCGTGTTCCACCTTTTGGATCTTGGGAGAAGGCTCCATGACCTCACAGCCATTGCTTTGCATCTCTGTTTGAGCCATTATATGATGACGATGAGCAAAATTTGGGAAGGAAAATGGTATGAGGCAGCTAGCCAGACCCAATGATAGGAAATCTGCCAAAATTCATCAATAATGAGACATCTGTTAAAATCCCCTAAGTTGGGAGTCATACAATTCTCAAAACAGAAGCATCTTAATCAACATTTAAACATGTACAAGAGATTATAATCACAATTTCAAGAGAGCGCAGAAAGAATTTAGAAACAGTAAATGCATTCATTAAAATAATAAAGAAACAGTAATATGGGCACAGCAACACCCCGGTCCATGATTCCACATGCAACACCATATTCTTTCATCACCCAAATACTAAACAAATCTATGCTCTTATTTGAATAAGCATGAAGCACAGCAAGCAAATGCTCTCCTTCCAAAATAGATAGCATGAAAGGAGATCCATTCAATGGTCGCGGTAACATTAGAAATTAGTTCCAAAAAAGAAACAGTAAACAGAGATTGTATGGACGGAGGACGCTGAAGATGAACCTGGTTTAAGATATGCGAAAGCAAGGAATCGTGCAGCAAACAGAGGCGGCGCTGTCCGCGAGGAAAATGGTATAAGGCGAGGCGAAGAAGATGGAAGGGCGGGGTTATATAGAGGAAGAGACGGGAAAGATCTTAGGGCGCCAAGTTTTCCCGCCATTCGACTCCGAAGTCTGAACCAGTGCTCTGCAGAAAGCTTAGCTCTGGGCCTTTAAGTGTGCCCGCGTCCAATGGTTCTTTCATTTCTTCGGCCTATAAAAACAAAGGTTCTTTCATTTCGGGTCCAGCTTGGCCTGGGTACTCAGCAACTGACAACGAAGATGCTCAGTAACCCCCAACGCACCGTTTGATTGATAGGTAAAGGACTCAACCCTTGAGGGTGCTAGTGAACAATGAGATTGGGATTTATATCCCCACCTCTGTAACTAGTTTTCCTGGCCTTGGTCCCTCTTCAGTATTTATTTATTTATTTATTTTTTAAAAAAAGGGCGAAGGACTCTGCCATATGTTTCATTTTATATCATGTCCTTTTTCCCTGCATAACATTAGGAGTATTATATTCAGTGAAGCCTGAAGGACAGCGATATGGAAACTCCTGCACAAAATTTTTTATGTTGCAATTAGCATTTTCAGCTTCTCACCTTGCGCTGCGTACAAACTTTGAACATCTTTACTTTTATGTTGCATTTGGATAGGTGAATTTTAGTTAGAAATTTAAATTTAAAATTTTATATTTGAAATTTATAGATCATAAATTCTTTATTTGGATGAAATAAAAAAATTTACATTGTAATTTTAAAATACTTTGTTTGGATCTTAAACAAAATTTTAAATTTTAAATTCTATGTTTGAATTTAAAGGCAACTTAGATAATGTTAGCAGTCCAATCCTAATCAAAGTCAATGGTCTAATCTAGATCAAGGGTGGCAAACTGATCTTGGTCGACTCCTATTGTCTAAACATGAATGACATCGATAACCAGTCTTGATTGCCAATAGCAATTCGATCCTTGTCAACATCAACAATCTAATCTAAAACGATGCTTAAGGATTAGCACAAGATGATTACAACAACATGAGCGCTGCAGATTAGACTTAGATGACATCACCAGGACATTCCTTTTTAACAACGGTAGTAGATTGACATAAGTTAGATGTGATGAACTAGCACAAGATAGTGGTAGCAGACCAACACTGGATTAAGGTAATGGATCGGCATCAAATGAGGATGACAACAGTAAATTGGCATTAGGTGGTAGAGGAGGGTGGTCTTGGTTGACATTGGTGGTCCAGTTTTGGTCACCACCAATAATCCAGTCTCAATCAAAACTAGCAGTCAAATCATGATCAATGCAAGCCATCTAGTGTTGGTCAAAATTAGTAGTGTGACCTAGCCAAAATTAGCCATTTGGACCCAGTTAAAGCTAGCAGTCCAATGTTGATCACAATCGACTATTTAGTCTTGGCTAAAGTTGATTTTTTGGTCTTGATTAAAGATGGCCTTCTAATCCTGATCGCAAATCGACATAGGATGGCGACATTGGACGGGCATCGAATGACAACGATGATAGCAAACGGGCATTGGGCAGTGATGAAGGGTGGTCTTTATTGTTGCCAGTCCCTTTTGGTAGTCTACCTAGGCCATTTGGCCTAAGTTTGTCATGGCGGTCTAGCCCAGATAAAAGTCAGTGATTTAGTTTCGATAGGTATTGGCGATTCAGTCCCGATAGACTTCGGTCTTTGTCAGCAGTTTAGTCCCGGTCGATGGTCCTCCCAGGGCGTCTGATCTCTGTTTGCCTCGATAGTTTGATCTCGATAAAAGATGACAATTTGTTGATGATTTAGTCTTGTTAATAGTGTTTGCAGTTCGGTCTTTGTGGTCGTTGATCCAGTCGCATTCGTCACTAGCAATTTGATCTTGGTCATCATCGCTTATCCGATCTAGATCACAATTAGTTGTCTGGTCTCAATCATGGTTGGCATTCTATTCCGAGTCTGTGCCAACGGTCAGATCCCAATGGATGTTAACAGGAGATAGCGATGTCAAAATCAAGAAGGCAGTGAAGTGGATAAACGAATGTGAGGGAAGAGAAAAGCTTTCATTGACATTTGAAAATAATAGAGGCTTATAAATGATTTGAAATGATAAAGGGATTGAGATAGGATTTAGGTCAAAAGTAAATCCACACATTTTTAATTACCAAAATGAATTTGGCTCAAATTGAAATTAACATGTATCTGAACATAACATTAAAATATTTGAAATGTAACAATTTCACCACTGACATTAACTATACAAACGTGGACTATTAAATTGGAGGACTGAAAAAGAAGTTTGACTAAACATTGCCAAATGGCAGGTCCATTGACATCCACTAACCCTTTGCTTTCAAAACTTCTTGCATCTTCTTCTTTCCTCCTCCTTTGCTTTCACTGGAAATGATCACTGCTGGACTGTCTTCCTTGCATGGATCCAAACATCCAGATTTAGGCTATCTCACTCCTATGACTAGGACGCTAATTGAAATGATTGTCCACAATCAATTTATAGAAAAGTTTATTCTGATCAGCACACATATACGCCTCTTCATTGTTGAAAACTTTTTTATTTTTTAAATTTTATAGTTCCCAGCAAGCATAGGCAAAAATAAAGCTCCAGGGAACCTTTCTTGTGTTTAACTCCCAACTCACTTTTAACTTCACACAACATTTAATCCTTTAACTTTATAAAATATTAAAATATATATTTAATTCTTTAACTTCACATAATATTTCACTTTAATTATTAATTTATAAAGCGTCTTTTTAATTCTTTAACCCTAATAGTGTTAATTTGATCCCAATAAATTTTTACATTAAACTTTTAAATATTAACAAAATATTTTTAAATATTGACACATTAAGTTTAATAATTTTTTTTTAAATAACAATGGCCAATACAAAATTAATGATATTAAGGTGAAAAGATTACATTTTTTTTTCTTACAAAATTAAAGAACTAAATTAAAATTTTATATAAAATTAAAAGACTGAAAGTATACTTTTAACAAATTATATTTAACATAGTCAAAACAACTCATTGCAACAAAAGGATCATGACAATCAAGTCTTACAAGTTCAGTCCAAGGGCTCCATGATAACGCTTCTGATAAAAAGCTAAGGAAGAGAGAGGCGGTGTAAGGGAGAGAAGACAAACGAATTTAGGAGAGAGGCCCAGAGAGAGACAGAGGCGATGGAATGAATAATACGTCAAAAAATAGTAGTCAAATTCCATTATTTCACATGGTTTAACCATCAATGCCGGTTTCTTTAACGGGAAGGCCTAAATTACACTATTTTTAAGATAATATTGCTTTACTTAAAAATCTAAAATACAAGATACTCCTTTACAAATAATTTAAGAGCAAAAATATCCTTTAAATTTTTTATAAAATAAATAAGCCGTGAAATATTGTGAAAAAGAATCAAGTCACGGTAGATCTCATGAGGGATATGCACCCCACGGAGTAGATTATAAAAATTCCTGGTATTTAATCATGCTGAATTATTAAAGATAAAGATAAGGCCAATACCTGTAGCTGACAAAAATAAAATTAAATATAATATCTGTAAAACTTGACATTGACTTGTTTAATATTAACAACTCTTGAAACTTTTCACGATAGCAAGTGACAAATTTACACTAGATCTGTAAAATTTAGGAAGACTTTGGCTAGACCTTTATTTGTTGTCTCTCAATTAACATGGCAAAATTTGAATCAACAGATTACTTTAATGGAGAAGCGGAAAATGAGGCATTTTCCCCTAAAAAATCCTTAGCCGGGCATATGTGGAGAGTTTCGTTAAGCCCTCCATTTTTTCACTCCTTCCAGTTCTCATCAATTAGATGAAACGAGGCATAAAATGTCAAGCTTCCACCCCACCTCCCCCTACACAAAGAAGTTTCACTGGTGTCCCCTTCGTTTTCTCTTTGAATCTATTTAGGGCGATGTCATGAACTTGGTAAGCACAGCATATCACATTTTATATCGTATCTAGTCAATGTAGTAGCAGTTGTGAAGGAAAAAAATTGTAAATTGATCATTATTTTCAAACGGAAATGTGGAATGCGGCAGCAAGGCAAAAAATGGAGCCTCGCCGTTTCTTTTTGCACTCAGCGAATTAAAGAAAAAGTAAACAAATGGCCCAAGGTACAGATTTGGATTAGACAGGAGAAAAGAAAGAAATGGCCTCTACAATATGAATGAAAGATTTAAAAAAAAAAAAAAGAAACTCGAAAAGAAATGCCGCCTATACAAGATAACTCGCAGTCGAGCAAACTGGCCGTGGATTCTCATGTTCTCCCTATAACCAAGCTCCCCAGCCAGGAAACATTTGGCACAATCGCTCAGGATCAATTGCATCTTGAATGAGTTGCTGAACCTGCAATTAAATTAAAATAAGCATTTAAGCTACGTTCAGAGTCTTTTCCCCCATGTCATCCGTGTTTTGACTGTAGAGTACAGGGAAGTGGAGACTCTTGATCACTAACTGAGGTGGACCGTGGATGCCACTACAAGCCATGACTTCGAGGGGGAATGAAGAGGTACATGCTCTTTTGGATGACAACCATTTTAAATTAACAAATGTGTTTCAACTTCCAATTATGCTAGTTGCATAGCCGGGAAATGCAAGCATCCAGGTTTACCCCACCAAATAGGGGAAAAGAATGAGAACAACACAATTAACATGGTATGCATAAAGGAATATGTCAGATACATATTATTGACAGAGTACCTGCCCATGTACACTCCGCATTTCACCTTCTTCATATCCATCTAACTTCTGCTTGACACGTAATAGCGCACGGGTAGCATCCTTGTTTCCTTCATGATCATCTTGAGGTTCCAAGAAAGTTGTATCTAGATCATCATCTGTTTCCTACAGAGAACAAGGGACAAGATGTTGTAGCAGATCAATCAAGTAGTTAAACCGAACAGGCCAATAGTACCAGTCCAAAATCTACGAGCCCCAATCCCAGCACAAATCAATTAACGAATATCAGGCCCTAGTATTTACTATCGAAGTGTAGCAAACCGTTGCATATACTACAAGTACATTTGTCATTTAATTATTTAATAAAATTTCTCTGCGTTAGTAATATTTATTATAACTCTCAAAATCTAATTGGGCAGTGACTTCATCTCAGTTGGATCACTCTGCAAACGGCCTCCCTTTCCACTCAAAGATTGGTCTAGATTTCAAAATATAAGTGTTCAACACGTCATCTTAAAACTACTCCCAAATTAAAATTATCGCTAAATGCATTTTTTGTAAGATACTTGTTAAATCATTTCCACAACTCTGAATAAGTAATCAATTCAACTTGTTCAAAATATGAAGCTGGACTTGCGATGTGTCAGTGTATAAATAATAATGAGAATAACCTTGAAGGCACATACCTTTTGACGCTGCAAAGCTTTTAGAGGAGATAAAGCCCATTTATAAAGAGGATCATGGATAAAAACCTGCAGAAGATATTTTTCATAAAAAAAAAGACAAAAAAAAAAAATTTATTCTGGATAATATTGAGTAAAGCACGATTCAATTACTTCAACAATTGTCAACAATGCTTCTTTGTTTGTTCTCATAACAGAAAGAGTTTCCTCACAACATCTTCGGAAAACCCCTCTACTCCAGTTATGCCCATTCCATCAATAATGTCTCGTGTCAGCCTAAATGGAACCTGTCAGTAGTACAGTCTAAAAAAGGTAAGGACATGAGTGCAGGGCACCTGTCAGTAGTGAGTAGTTGCGAACGTGTAGATAATTAATATAGCCCAGAAAAAGTAAGGAAATGAGTGTAGGATTAAAGGACTTCAGGCATACCCGTTCTGGAGTCTTAAGCATCAAACCTTGTTCAAAGGCAACACCAAGATCTATGTGAACAACCTCAGCAGAGGCTTCATCAATTAAAATATTCATTGAATGTCGATCACCAAGGCCAACTACGTAACCAACCTATAAATAAATCAAAAGGATCATGAGAAAATACGGCTGTCATGAATTATAGAATCATGAGAGAATGTTATTTGGGTCTTTTATTAGGGAATTATTGACACTTTGATCCCTGGAACACATGACCTTTTGAGATTGACAGCAATAATAAACAATATCAACTTCTTGTTTTTCTGGTTTTTTTTTTTTTTTGGGAAGTAGATACCAAAGTGTTGATAATTCCCTGTGTTGAATCGTTTCCAAATAGTGAATAATTGGAAAACAGATGTGAAACAGATGGGAGAATTAGCGTTGGGATGGGCAAAGATAAAATGATTTACTACAGTTTCCATGAAGGTTACATTATATAGAGAATCTAAATGATATCACTTGCCAATAAAAAATGGGAAAATAGAAGGTAAGACTATAAAATAAGTACATGATTTAATGCAGAGTAATCCTTCTTTACTTAATAGTACTGAATAGTTCTTTAATATGGTTTCAATTTATGACACTGATGATACAATCACGGACGACTTTCAGCAGGATTAAGCACAGGGATGTTAAATTGCAATGAACTTGCCATAGAACTAGCAGCTACGCTTCGTGTGTAAGCTAGTCTCTTCTCAAACCACTCAGCTGCCTTGAAAAATCTCTCCAAGAAAAAGTAATGCATAACTGGCCTGCATAATAGTCATGAAGCTATGAAGTTGACTGCTGACCTGATTTGAAAAATATAAAGTATAGGAAAAGTCAAAAACCTGAAATTCTTACAGACTTCTTGGAACGCTTTGCGCTTGTCTCTTTCCTGTTTTAAAGCCACCATATATTATAATCGTTTCCTTGACACCAAAAAATAATAGGAGGCTCTTGATAATTCTCTAACATTATCATTCATCTCACAGTTACTTCAAATAAGTGGGAACAGCGGAATAAACTACACAGGGGGCAAATATTCTTCCACCTGCACTGGCTTTCCACAGGCCATAAAAAAGGATTACAGAGGGTAGAAAATGTCTTACGAATAACTGGTATCTAACATGTTTCACCAATGACAGTCTCCCCAGTCATTTGCATTGCAAAGATTAATTGATAGTTTTAATGCAACCACATAAAATGCCTCATATGCATTTGTAATGTGGATGATGGAAAAATCTCCAATAACCACTGTTTTAGAATTTCTTTTTATGATTTAAAAATAGAATTTATGATTCTATGGCTTCATAAAATTAAGAAACAAAGCAATTAAGATAGAATTTACACAAAGCTGCACTATTCATAAATAATGAACAGCATGACTTATTTCAGACTGTTCAAAGCATGTGGCTAATAGTTTAATTCAAGGCATATTTCAGAAGTGTAGACTATTATAGATCATCTTGTAAAAAATACCAAAATATTAGTCAACTTACCTTGGCCATGTGCTCTCTACACTCGAGAAATGACCAATCCCCTATTCCATATCGACCATGAGCACCGCCATTTCTCATGCTAAAGTACAAGGAAAAGGATCATTTAGGTGATGAAGAGAATTAAATTTGGCAGCAAAATACAACTTGCTTTGACAGACCTCCCTATAAGATATTCACCAAGAGGAAGAGTGCCATTAACCCACTCAAGAACACCAGCACTTGGCGTAAAAGGAACAACCTATAACATTAAAAAATGTGAAAATAAGTGAATCTTCACACACACACACACACACACACAATACTTCATATAAACTATCATCAGATCACAATTAAAGAACTCAGAAAAAGCAGAGTATACCTTGTAGGTCCGTATACTTAACCTTCTTTTCCACGTATCTTGGTGGTTCCTCAGGAATGTGTTAACTAAACCAAAGAATTGTTCCATTACCTGTAAAGGTAATTAAAAAAAAAATTGTGACCATCTAGGCTTAAGCCGTAACAACGTATCCTGCATGTGAGAATATGATAAAAGAATGGGAAAAGACTATTTGGAGAGATATAGTCAATTATTTGTAAACAAGGAATTAAGCTATTTTTCACCAAAAAAAGGGAGTTAAGATCAATTGGGATACTCTTCCTTTACAATTCTTTCACTGTTTTAAGATTATCTTTTTTGTTTTCTTTATAAACCCTTGGTTGTGGGCTTTCCATTGAGCTAAGTAACTGGTTTTTCTTTGCTTTCTCTCCCTTTTTTTCTCCCTATCTCTCTGATGGAAATCTCTACAGCATAAAAATTCTAGAATTCAAGATTTCTTAGAAACTATGCTTTTAGGATTTTAATTCGAATTTAGAATTTATCTTATCTTTAAAAAGTTAGATTTTCTTTATATTAGAATAAGGTATTCAGGATTATCTTATCCTATTTAGGATTGAGTTGTTTTAAATACTCTTTTAAATTTATTAGCACTAAGCTTCTCTCAATTGTCAGATCTTCAAGTTGAATAAATATTAAATTTTTTGAGTTCTCTCTCCCTCAAGTTCTTCAATTTCTCCCTACTTTCTTTCTGTATCTCCCTCCTCCCTTCCTATTTCTCTCCCCACCTTTTCTCCTCCCTTGTCGAAGATCACTCTGTTTCTCCCTTCTCTCGTTCCTCCTCATTCTATCGTCAATTAGAAAGCTGGCAGCTTCAGTTTTTTATACAATGAAAATTTAATAAATGCAACGTGTCTTTTGTGAGAGAACATCTGGAAATGGAAGGTAGAACTGGAAAGGAAGTAAAAGTTTTCAGACAACAACTAACTTTGCCCAAATAAAATCTTATAAAAAAGGATGGAGGGAGTATATGGGCGTTTGTAATAGTATTTTTATTACTCTGCATTGGAAGATGAATTCTATATTGCTTATGGGCTGTACAGGTGCGCAAGTATTCTCTGCAATGTTCTATATTTGACGGAATAACTTCATTTTAAAATGAAAATCTAAATCAATAGGTAGGGGTTTTAAATTTCTACATTTAGCAACCCTAAAATAACAAAAACTGTAGACTTAATAGATTTGTCAAATATCCTTCCTTGGAACTCCTACTTCTCTCGAAAAATTGAAAACTTGGAAACATTTCAACAAGAAACTTCAGCAATAGATGCCATCAAGAATAAAAAGCAAATGCAGTAAGAATTCATACAGCATCCTGTCTTAGGTCGTCGTTTCCAGATTTTGCAAGTTGTCGATACCTGCAACCATCAGATCCAAGGCACTCAACCACTTTTGGAGCATTTATACCATTCATTATCCTGCATTAGAGACAAACATGAAATTTAAGCAGCAGAAATTGCATGCTGAGGAAATATTTGAGATTGTCACAAATGGTTAGACATACATGACTGACTCTGCTAGTCCTTTGAAATAAGGAAAAGTTCCATCATGATACTGACAACTATAGTCGATTGGAACAGTAGCTGTGACTACAGGTACCTGAATTCCCAAGTAAAACAGAAAATTCTTGAGCAAAACATAGCTTCAATTGCAAGGAACACATATCAAGATTGACAAATATGTTGGACCAAATATTCACACACCATATAAGGATAATTCTCTGATAAATGCTTAACATGAGGAAAAAGGCAAAGCTTATGAAACTGACAAATAGAAAGCCTAGGTATAATTAATTTCAAAGTCAATAAGTGCCTTCTGCAATATTAGAAAAGTTTAACTTGAGTTAATAGGATCGTCCTGTAAAAACCCTACTGCTGTCTGCTGACGTCTATACATCTCTATGGGACAAGTTATCAACTTTCGATACATATCAGTACTACAAGAGTCATCATTTATGCTTTGTCAATTTGTATACGATAACATAAAACTGTATGTGTCTCAAGGGTGTTGTTCATGTTTTTATCTCAATAGCATTATTAAAATATAGTATTCATTCCAGTTTGAATTCCTATAATACCACCATAAGACAACACAAACTATAATATGAATTCTCCCTGCACAACCAGCCAATCATCAAATCAACCTTAAAAAAGTTTTCATCACAAACAAAGAAACTCAGCAAGTAGAGCGCTGCACTCACACGTTCCAGTGCTGGAACACTACGTAATTCTCTCGGTAGACTCACCCTTTTATTGGTATCCTGCATAATGGTCTGATGAGATGGTTGTCAAATGTAAATAATTTGGACAAGTTTTGGAAGATTGTGGGAAAGGTTTAATTTTGAAAAAAATATATTTTTGCAATAATGAATGAAATATGGAAAATAAATAAATAATCGCTCAACCTCTCTCCTTGTTTCCATCTCAGCAAGCTTGATATAAATCTCCACCATTTGCCTTGTCTATGAACATGGGGCACAAAAAAGTTTGAGCATAATATACAGAAAATCAGACCTTAAACGACAAAAAATTGACATTACTTGTTGGATAATAGTTCCATGATAAGACGATAGCTCATTTAGAAGGTTTTCTGCCGCAAGCTTTTTGTCCATATCAACCACAAATGAACTTCTACTACGCTGATTGTCCTTGATACGGTCACCGTTTGCCAGACCCAACAGCTGATGTAAACATCAGATAAAGAAAATCATTTCCCTTTTGCTGAGTAAAGATAGCGACAATGCATGAAAACATACTGATGGAGCCAAGGATAAGTGGGAAACTGGGAATGTCCATTTAAAAGGGGAAAAGAAAGGGCAAGAAAGCCCAGAGGAAAAATTGCACGGGTGAGAGGGGCAGGGGAGGAAGTAACCTTGAATAACTAATTAAGAGACGTGTCAAGGAGGGTTCAGGAAAGTTTCCACTAGATATCTCCCAGTATCTCAAACATCAGGAGTTTTTGTTTTCTGGGTATTTGAGTCTTAGCATGCATTCTATTATTCTGTTTTTCTGGTTTTTAATTATCCATCCATATGACGTGTGGGGTCCACAACTGCCTCCGACTAGCTAGGACCTTAGAAATATACACAAGAGGTCGGTGTGTTGTTCTAGTGTGAAGAATTTTTCAGGATTGATTAAACAGGAGTACCTTCTCCCTTCTCCATACCAGAAATTACAGGTTCGCACTCGAATGACACAGCTTGGCACTGGTCAAGATACTACCAGATGGACCGAGGAAGCTTTTTGCTTCCCCCAATTAAAAAATTGGAATCATAAAGACATAATGTTGAAAAACAAATAGAACAAAATTGAACATGCAATGAAACTGCTTGATGATAGAAGGAAAAACGTAAAGTTAACATACATGTAGTATTGTATGGTATGGATGATCAATGGCCATTTTCTTCACGAGAGACACCAAAGCACACTGTATTGTCCATAATTTGCGTTAGGAATAAAAAGAAAAACTGGAAAATGTAAAAAGGTAAAAATTTCCAGACCTGGAAATCGTAAGTTCCCTGACCGTCCTTTGAGCTTCCCATTCTAGACGCAATTTGGTACACTAAAGGTATAAATTTAAAAGACTGAACCTGGAAATTCATTCAGATGCAGACCAAACAAGATCCACTATAATCATATTAGAGAAACATAGAACACTAACTCATGTGCAAAGCTTTGCTTCACTGTGTACCTCATCAATTGTGCTAAGCATACTATTCACTACATTTTTTCGAGAAGAGAGACTGAACCACAAGGAAACTAGACGAAACACCTGAAAGCAAGAGTTTCTCCAAGAAAATCAAACTACTTAATGACATATATAGTTCCTTCAAAAAATTCAGCAGTACTACTCTATTAGTTACAAAGGAGGTAAGAGAATTTCCATACCACTCTCACATCATACTTGTCCCCAGTGACTAAACAATGTTTATATCCATCCAAAGCCAGGCTAAGAAAATTGTCTCGGTCATCCTGGGTGATATAGAAAGTAAAGAAATAGAAGAGTTATGTTCAACCCATGTGATTCTGACGCAGCCAAGCTTAATAAACAGGAGGAGAAAAAGAAGCAAACCGATCATTTAGTGACATGCAAATGTCAATATGACAAGACATCAGGGTAAAATGTTAAAAAGTCTAGGGACTCTTTTAACCATTATAAATGATCAAACAATGAATACCTGCAATTTCTGAGCCTCTTCCTCATCCATCGCTACTTGCTTTTGCAGTTCTTGTATTTTCAAGGAACAGTCAGTCTTCTCCCCCTAAATTATGTCTCACACGAGTTAGAGCCTCAAAATACCAGTCAAGCAAATGAATAGCTGGCCTAGGACTACCTTTCTTGAGCTCCTTAATCTTTTAACAAGAGCTTCCAACTCCACTTTCTGCACATAAGTAATAATAATAACACCCACAATTCATATTTCACTATGATGGCTGTACGTTAAATTGGGTCACTGAGCATGGTACCTTATGTTTCCTTAACCGCATTGCTGCTTGCCACTCACTAGAGTTGAGTCTTTCTTCATGGCTCCTAAATAGCGCATCAGCATAATGTGCAAGATGAAAATGAGTCTGACATTTCCGTTTTATGGACTTCTCATCAGTAGTGTACACATCCTCAGTGATTGAGACTGCAGGTTTCAAATACTTCTCTAAAATTGTTCTAGAGCTGCATTCATTAGAGCCAGCAAAATAAAAAGCGTGAATTTAGGCTTTTTAAAAAGAAGCTAATTATAAGAATGATATGCAATTGGATTTGTTTAATAACTTGCTAGATCTGGTTTCTGCCAGCCACTTCCCAATCAACCGATATACATCAGAAGCCTCATTATTAGACCCATAGTTCCCTGAAATATACATTGCGAGGTTGATAGCCATCTCATGTTGACCTTGAGCTCGCAAAAGCTTTGCTTCTTCAAGCTGCCATAAAGAAGCTACAATACTCAGATACAATTAGTAAAACCAATTAATACATTAATATATTATATAAAGTTAAAATATCATACTGCTATAAAATCACTATTCAATTATGTTCATTATTTCTTGGAGATGCACGCAATTTTTTTAATAAATTTTAATACCTGTGTTTTTGTGCAGATGAAGCTTGAAGCTTCTCTGGTTACAATAATATCATTGCTGACTCTACTTTTGAGCAAGTTATAAGCAAGAAGCAGACATGACACAAGCATAAGTTAACTACAGATTAAATTGAATCTTCCATATTTATGTGTCAATATATTATATTATATAAACAATTAAGAACTGACACCACTGTACAGTTAATATTCAATTATTGATAATTATTTTTGGAGTTACATGCATTTTTTTAATTTTTAATTTTAACACTGCATTTGTACTAGCAAAAGCTTCTCTAGTTACAGAAATACCATCGCTGACTCTATTTTTGAGCAAATTATCAGCAAGAAGCAGAAAGGATACAAGCATCAGCTAATGGCAGAAGACAAAGTTGAATCCTCTATATTCATGCATTTATAATTTGGAGAGAGAATAACAAAAAAATGTAAGTGTGTGAAGCCTGCATCCCAACTTCACATCTATTGACTCTTGTCTTCTAATGTCTCTGGATATATGCTATATGGATTCACATTTGTATATATAAAGAATCTGGATTGACAGAAGACATAAAATTTTCCACAATAAATTCAATATTAATATAGTTAAATTCTTTGTCATGGCACATTGATGAACTATCAAGATAGCTTCTACCTGAACCAAAATTCTGAAAAAATCCATTTGGTTATAAATAATATCAAATTAGCAAGTACATAAGAAAAAATGATAAATAATTAGAAAGGATATTGAAAGTTCTGGATTAAAGCTCTCTAGTCAATCTTTTTCAACACTTAACCAAGCATTTCCTTCAGAGACACAAAAACTGACTTTTCTAAACTCTAACATCACAATGCGACACAAACATTACAAGCCATGGAAAACTACTTACCCTTCCTAGCCAATACATGGATGAAGATTCTCCTTTGGCTTCAACACAAAGGAACTTAAACTCATGCAATGCAGCAGCTGCTTGAGAGAACCGAGATCCCTGAGCAACACAGAACAACCTGTCAGAAATGGAATTTGTTGTAACTTGACTCAGATCCCCTCATTTATGACTTGAAATTCAAATATGAACTTTCATTTATGGCCTAGTCAACAAAATGTTCCATGCAAAGCCCGCGGTTTATTTTTTAAACAAGTCAGAAATGTAATTTTCCTTTGTAATTATATGCTAGTTATTACAAATTAAGTGTAAATAGTCAAAGAACTCTGCAATTAATAAATCCACACCTTTTTTATTCTAGGCTTTATTTCTGAATTTATATAACTTACTTTTGCAATTTATGCTTGCTTAACTCATGGAATCCGCTAGCAGATTTGTTGCTAGGAATCTGCTACAAATATGTAGCTTCTTCTATTCAAAAGAATTAATAAAACAGAGCATCGTTTCTCATTTTCTTCAGGATCAAACTGGGATTTCATGATAATGAAGTCTTACAAAGTACCTTTCGAAGAGTGGAAGCAGATTGCAGAAGATGTTGCAATGCATAATCTCTACAGCTTAATATCTGAAGTAGAACCCGCCGAAATGCTATAAATGGTTCTAACAGATTCATATGCAGCTGCATCCGTTCCAAAATTGAGCACCAATCCGAATTCAGCCATGACAACTAGTTGAGAAGAAAACAATGCAAGGCATCAAAATCTAAGGAAAGACAGAATCAACAAATGCATAATCATTTGTGAGTGTGTTATGCATGACACATTGATGCTCTAATTACCTGTTCAATGGTAGGAATTACAGGCTCAGGAGACACATTTTGCTTTTCAAGACTGAGCTTTGAACTTCTATGTTGAGATTCCCTCCAGCGTAAATCCCATGCCATGCCAAGATGATAAAGCATCTGTAAGTAATCATGAAATGTAAAATAGTAAAACTATGAAGCGCCAATTTATTTGTTCACAGATATAAGCATCAAATAATCTTTTAAAATTAGTATATTGTCTTGTTCGCACATATCAATCACCTCACAGAAGCCTCCAAACATGGCAAAACTGTTTGAGGATCATGGTCATTGTAGGGTACAAGGTTTCTCTGGTGCATATTAGGCAGGTTATTTATATATTCGTTAGAAGTAACTTGGTTACTTGGAAAATAGAGAAACAGTGTGTGGTGTGATGACTATGCTGCTGCTATTCACATGGCTTAAAACCTGGTGCTCTATGAGAGAACAAAGTAAAGCTGTCTTTTGTTTCATTAGAAGCTACAAGAAGTACTTTTTTCCAAGCTGTTAGGAGCTAAGACTGTAGAACAAGCTAACATTTTCACTGAAGCTCCTAATCTGATCAAAAACTAGTAATAAAGATTAATATCTAACCCCAACTCGAGCAGAAATGTTATAAAATATGTATTTAATACTTATATATCTCTGCCATTCTTCTCATCTTTTTCTTCCAACAATATTAACCCGACTCCTATTATGTAGCATCAATTTCAAGTCAGGCACATCAACAGTGTAAGGAATTGCTAACCAAAGGCAATACAAACTTAATGTCGAGGTCTTAAGGATCCAGAGACAAGAGAAACAGGTACCTGAAGCTTCACTATATTTGAGAAAATGTGCTGTGTGTTCTCTTCACTTGTTTGAGAAACAGACCACAAAAGCTCCTAAAAAGCATACAAATTATGTAATTATATGAAGTCCTCAAGCACACAGACATAAATGAGGAAACCAAAATTACCTTCTTTGAATCTTTCAACTTCCAATAGAAGTCACTCAAATCACCCTCCTGGAGCGCCCTCAAACAACTAGACATGAGAATAGTTAGATGCAATCAGGCAAATTTTTTAGGATAAAAATTTTTAGAATTCAGAACTTGTTACTCATTTAAGTGTACTATATAGATTCTTAAGCTAATTACCTGTGCAGATTTTCATTGAAATGATCACATTTGATATTCTGAGTAAAAGGAGTAGAATTAGCTCCTATATATGGTAAAGAGAAATCCCAATTCCCAGAACGCCAGGCAGCCTCATACTGCAATTCAGCGAACTCTAAATCATGCTGAAGCCGGTCATTCCTTGATGTTAACCCATGGCAATACAAGTCAAGTACATGTGTACATCCAATCTGCTGTGTAATGATCTAATCAGCCCTTTGTAAGGCTTGAATTGTCTTGTCTCTTCAACTTTTGTGGAAATAGATGAAGAATCTGCTGCTTGGGTGTGATCTGATGGCAAACTTAAAAAACTGCCATCATCCAGTTTTGAAACATCTGATCTTACAAGCAAGTCATAGTACTCAAGTGCCTTCCCCAGCTTCCCTCATGCTCAAAGGTAATGATTTGAGAACTCAACTGCAATTTCCAATCAAAACATATGAAAGACCAACAAGAGTGAGACAAAATGCTGACATACAGAAATGCACAAAGCTACAGAAAAACTGATGTCTGATGACAAGACCTACTAATCCAACATTTAGTCCCATTGGTTGAGCCATGTCATTTTGGAAGTTAGCAACTCACCGTCATGTATTTTAAATTGTTTGCCCATCTAAGAAGTCAGGTAGAGATTAGGATCTTGTGACAATGGGCCGGCTTACACAGAAGTTCTTTTTTTTTTTTGGCTTATACAGAACTTTCTTTTCTTTCTTTTTTTTTTTGGAGTTGGCAAGCAAAACCTCTTGCTGGGCAGGATTGAACCCAAGGCCTTGCACCACAAGGGGTGAAAATATAGCCGCAAGGGCTTTACCAAAAGTTCTGGTGCTTTAATTTTTCATCACGTGGTAGAATGTGGGGGAGCAATCAAAATTCAAAGAATCAATAGTTACTAAATAAATACTAAAGCCTTGTTAACTCCGCATCCAACAATAGGTCGCATGATGTAAATGTAGTCGTTTCCCATGGAATAGCATGAGACGTTCTATTAGGTATTTAAGTGGATTGGTCTAATCTTTTCATTATGTGGTTTGTTTGTTTTTTTTAGGGGGGGGGGGGATCAAAATTCACAAAGCAGAGGTTCCAAAATAAATACTAAAACGTGCTTAACTTCACATCTATGTGTCACATGCCGTAAATGTAATAGGTTTCACCACCAAGAAATTGGTTCTTTCCCCTCTATAGCATGATTTTGCAGGAGGATTCCCCATCCCAAATGCCTATCAATTACTATCAGAGCCTGGCTTTCCACAGTCTTTGTTAAGAGTCCATTGAATTGAGTTTTATTTAATTATCGTTATTTTAAATTTTGAATATTTTTTTAGAGATTTAGAGATTTTATTCAAATATCTATTCATTTAGGTTTTATTTAGATATTTAGTTCTTTAGATTTTATTTAATTATCTAGGTATCTAGATTTTATTCACTATTTTAAATTGTATTTGGCATTACAAATATACTTAGCAATTTAGAAGCAGACATATAATAAAACAAACTTTTGATACTTTTAGGCCTTTGGAAATTCTCTTAAGCGTGGCTATTGAGAAGAGTATAAACGATTCTTGTTCGATATCATCTTAACAGATTTATTCCTTCTATTTTCTTCCATCAATTCTATGTTTTCTTATTAATATTATGAAGTTAGATTCTAATTTCATATATTAATCGATATTTATTGTCCTTATTTTCTCTCCCTATCTTCGATCCTATCAGCCTTGGAAATGGCTGCCTTCAGAGGGTCCCAAGCAGTGGAAAGGACTGCCTTGGAAAGTTAAGTGTTATAACAAGTAAAGTGTCACAAATTGCAGCCACTGGGATGTTAGCTCTCTAAGAGGGCCAATTGATGGAGATTAAGATGATATGAGATGCTTAATCTCACATAGAGTAGTATGGGATGTTATATGAGGTATTTAAATATGTTAATCAGCTTTTAGATGAGGGTTTCTCATCCTACTCAAGTAAACATCAAGATACAATTAAGTGAAGAATACCATCCATTACTCAGTTAAGAGATAAATCAATAAGAAGAGAAAGACTGACCTTGTGAGATTGAAGAATTCCGTATAAGCTGTCAGATTCATTGATTCTAGTTACGGCTGAGACAAGTATTTCAATATGATCTGGCAACTGATGTGCACGAAGGCCAGAAAGAAAAGATGTAGTTACTGAAATCTTAGTTTAAGTAGAAGCCAACATTAAAGCTTATCAATGTGAGGATTTCCTTTAACTATGGCCTGCAAAAACCATATATACAGAGGGGCCAATCTGGACGCCTACAAATTAAATAAAGGAGGCATACTACAAAAAGACCAGATTGTCCTATCTTGCGTGGGAAAAAAAAAACATCAGACACAAATATTTCGTACAACTTACCATTTCCCTGTGGGAGAAATCTTGCCCTCCCAGCGTCATACCCATGAACTGCTCTTCACACCAATGTTCCACATACATCATAGAGGTAAAATATGATCCACAACTCTATCACAGAAATAGTAGGACGTTATCATAATTAAAAAAACAAATTTGAAGGAACTTATGGAAGAAGAAGAATAAGGTACTGAAAATCTGCCGCTTACAACTGCTGACTTTGCAACTAGAAGATAATCAATGGAAAACCAATACACCTGGGAAGATAAGGGCAAAACAATTGGAGCTGAATTGAGGCAGAAAAACAATATATGGGCTCCCAAAAGTAAAAAATATTTTTAACAATAAAAACCATGCAGGAAAGAATGTAAGAAAGATTATACCTTATCCCATGAGGATGAGTACTTTGCCAATACATTCGCTACAACAGATGAGTCTCTTGCCCTTGCAGGTGTTGATCGTGATTTGTTGCTGTAACTTGAAGTCTTTGAATTCTGCATTAGCAAACCACAGTTTCAGCCATACAGCTAGGAACACATGGTGAAATATCTTATCCAGTGTTAACCTGGAATTGAACTTGAGGTGTATTATACAGTAATCAGTCCGATCAACAATGTAATGGCTTTGATCACCATGGGGCACACAGGACATATATATATATATATATATGAATTGTTAAATGTACATACTTTATTGGGGAAATTGTTTATATTTTCTCATAATAATCCAATGACATTTACCCAAAAAAGTATTAAGACGCCATAAATGGATAGCTGTGGGAGTTAAAGTATACTGTAGAATATCCCTAAACCTAAAGCCATCAAAGATTATCATCACAAGACCTATATATACTGCTGAAATCAGTATTGACAAATGTCAATAAGCCTTGTATTCAATTGTTGAATTAGCACTTCTTAATGCATTTACAAGAGATGGGCACCACAATTTAGAGGCCAAGAGATAACACATGCACACACGCATACAAATAGAGACACGCACAAAAATGTATATGTGCACTTTGTTCTTTGATTAGATGCTATTACTCAGTGAATTGGTGAATCATTATGGAGCACAGACATGAAAATCAGACTCAAGGAAATATGAAAGGAAGTGACACATGACCCACCCAGCATAGACACATGCATTTTAAAATATATTCAAGTGTGCTTGAACATATAATCAAGAATCGCCAGAATATTAAAATACTAGTGTTTTCAATTCTAAAGAATGATCTTTAGAGTCCAGTCAAGGTGTTATAATCTCATAAGCATCTGATCTGACGTTGAAAGATCTCAGTGTATGTACTTGAGGAGTGGATAATCTATGGTCTTTACACTTTGACAAATCAAACTGCAACCTAAAAGCCTTCAGCCTTCGAATATGATGAGTATATTTAATAAGCCATTTTTATTCAAACTATTAATTACTTAATTTAACGATATTGACTGTAGCCACATCAGGAAAAAATATTTTTCTTTTTTTTTTTTTAATTTCTAGAAATCGTAACTCAATACTAACCTCTACATCAGTTCACACCAATCAAATCCAGCACATCACAAACAGTTAATTGTAATTGACAACTAGAGGAATCTTAATTGCAAATCATTGGGTGTCACCTATAAACTCAAGACCCTTATTTGTAATTGATAACCTGATATTGAAGAAGCCATTTGAATCGATCTTTGCAACTCATCTTTCAGCAAAAATTTTAGAACTTAATTGTTATCAAACTGATTTTTAGGACCTAATTGTCATTTTCCCTGATTTATTTACCTCTTGTTAGCAAAAATAATACATGTTCAAAGAATTAAAATGATATATAATTAGTTGCATCCAAAAATTTAATGAAAAATCACAATTTTAACAGTAGAGACCAAAGAAACTTGTAAATTTTGAGGAATTTTTAGCTACAAGAACCAAATTAAAGATTGAATGACATTTTAGGTACCAAAAATACTATTTTCCCAATAAAATATAATCATAGAGATCGTAATGATTGAACAATATTCACCTTGGAATTTTCTCGCTTCAATGGTACAAAAGATCTTTCTGCAACATGAAAGATACGGAGTTCATTGAGACAATTTAATAACACTTGATCGATTTGGTCAACTTATTGGACGCTGCAAAAAACATGCTCTTGCAACTGCAAGCACACAAAAAATTCACCAAATTTATTTGCACGTCATATTAAGAATATGAACTTATGTTGAGAGCAACTATTTGCAAGTATTTCAAAGTGGTACATTTCATTATCGAGCATTTTGCATGGGTGTCTAAGATTCCACGTTTGGTGGAGATTTTATTAGTCATAAAACATAAGGCGTGTGTAGCAAATACAGGAAGTATTGGACCAAATGCAGGCATCTAAATGCAAGTATCATGGAAACTAGGAATCCAAAATAACTACATAAATACAAGTGTCCAAAAATTTAAACACCTTAGAGTCAAATATTGTAGGAGGTAAGAAGATATAGTTAAATCATTCACTATTTGCCTAGATAATG